ATGTCTAAAGAAAAGAAATCTATTTGCACGTATTATAATCAAAGATTTTCCACAATCAAACCTCAGTGGTTGAACGGTTGTACTGTTCTAGGCATTTGGTAACAGGAAACAATTGTCACATTATTGGTCAGGATATTTATACATGAGGAAAGCTTGGATTACATTAGATGAAGGAGTGTCTTGCTGAAAATAAAAACATTGCACAAGTAACTTCTTTTCAGCACTAATATTAACAACAGATAGCAACAACAGTTAACATAACTACTCAAATAGAGGCAAACGTAATCAGGTAACTAAAGATTTAATTAACTCAATGAAATGCTTTGAGTCTTTGGAGACTGCAGTCCTTTTACATTGAAAGTTCAGTGTCTGGAACATGTCACACTTAGGTGAGACAGGGGTTTTCCCTTTTGATGTGGTAATAAAACAAAGAATAAGGTCAGTTGCCACGGAAACGTGTGTGGGGGGCCAGTTTTGATAGGCTGTTCAGGGAGATGCCAATGGCTGGTTCGTGTCCCTTTGTCAGTTTAACAGTCAGGCCCCGCGTTATCAGCTTCGGAATCAAAAAGGTGCCAGTTTTATGGTCGGGATAGCACTTAGAGAAAGCAACTTTGGCCCCTCCCCTTCTTCTCTGGGGAGGAGAAAGGAATTTAGGGTAGCTCCAAATTTATTCAATATAAAATGCACAAATCCACACCGTTGTTCACTACAATTCTGTCGGAGAGATAGCCTATTATGAACCTGTTGAAGAGCTGACACCCGCAACGCAGCACTGACACCTGCATTACAGCTGTTAATAGCACTACGTTTTTATGCAAATGGTCCGGCACCATCTGAGCATGAGTATCTGTATGTCAACCGCACGGGATAACATTCAATAAATGTGCAGATTGCTTGTTACGCCAATTATAACATCTTTAATTTGGTGGCACGGTGGCCTGGATCTACCCATGATGCACGCATCCTCCGAGAGAGTGCGTTATACCAGGATTTCAAGGCTGGAAGAGTAAACGGGCTGCTTCTCGGCGACAGCGGAGACCCACTGAAACACTGGCTGATGACGCCTATAATTGCTCCGAGGACTGAGCAAGAACGACGGTATAACACCATCCACACCACCACTAGGTCCCTCGTTGAGCGGTGCATCGTGGTCCTCAAGCACAGTGTCTGTGCTGCTATCCATGGTGCTGATTTAGTGCGGCCACTAGATCACTGAAGACTATATAAATAGACTAGGCCTAGACTATAGAACAAAACTCGCCAAAAGTGACACATTTAGGTTTTACAGTAATCATTAACATGTATCATTGTTTTTTCTAGGTTTCATTGTCTTCATGGAGAGATGTGGATGCACCCTGAGTGAGTCTGCACCGTAATAGCAGCGTGCACTGTCCTCCACAACATCTGTGTCTCCCTAGGCAACACCATCAGCCGGTGCCGGAGGAAGGTGCCGACCCTGTGGACCATGCAGGGCATGACGGTGTCGGTGGACGACTAGTCCGTACACGCATTATTAATGCTTTATTAAACTGTTGTAAACTATTGCTTCACTTAAAATAATTCTGAAAAATAAGCCACAAAGAAAGTCCAGTAGGTTTATAATAAACTTTTTTAAATTTACATACAATTGTCATTGATTCATTGCACACAATTTGCAATTAGGCTTATTTACAGAATTACAAAAGACCGCCCGTCCTCTTCAGAAACAGGCGAAGATGACCTGCTTATCTGTTGTTGGAGCAACTGTATTTCTAACGATATTTTTTGTTTTTCAAGTTCCAGATTTTCCTGCTCGGTCTGTAATTTCTTTCTCAAGAAGTGTCTGCTGCAGGTCGTCCAGCCTCCTCCTCCGTTTCACCGGCGGTGCACCACTGCTGAGAACTTTGTGGAGTGACTGGGGCCTCGATCGAGTCTGAAAATACAGAGAATCTATCATAGGCCTACTGTTATCTGACAACTACTAAAACTGTTATTGTAGGCTACTCTAATATATATAGGCTACACACCTTCACAATTCACACGGTCAAGCAATCGTTAATCACCTCTGTTATCTGTTGTTTGTTTCTTCTTGTTAGTTATTGAGTTTGATTGATTGGCAATCACTGTGTGTCTGTGCTGACTGTACAGCTCTATTAACTTTCGTATGTAAAAGACTAGAAAGGCGCTATACAAGTACGGAGCATTTACATTGATACGGCTACAAGTTAACAAAACAGTGGAAGTGGAACAATGTAACGCACGCTGTTAGGCATCTGCTATAGTTCTGTGGCCATTCACATGAACGCGCATCGCTAAGAACAGGTGTAGTTAACCCTAGGCTTAAGTTTGGCATTAGGTCAACTCTAAAGACTGGTCTTAACTAAGACCTACTTAGCAGTTAGGACCAGGCTTAGTAAAGCCCTGTTGGTGCAACCGGCTCCTGGTGCCCAGAGTTACTGCAATCACTCTCAGAGAGATTGGCCACGCACACACATAACCCCACAGGGCGTCACAGTATACACAAACATTACACACTTGCATTATTCATTGAATGAATACCACTAGATTGGTGGCTTCGTGCCTTTTCTTCAGCACTGAGAAGCAAGGTCCAGTGAGGCCTTCAAGTTAGAGGACTGCGCCTATACTCGTAGAATCTGGAGTTACGATACGTAACTACCGTAACTACCGCTTCGCCCTCTAAGGCTGTTGTTATTGGGTCAGAGGCCAAGCAGGATGAGTCAATGCCTCTCCAAGCCCATAAGGTAGCACCAAGCACAAACCCACCTACCCAGAGCCATACAATGAGCCACCCAGTCACTCGCAGTCCACAGCATTGGTGTTGGCGTGCACACGAGCACCAACGGCACGACATGGGAGGCAGAGGACCGACCCATGTGTAATAGCCGGGAATCGGGCGGGGGGGGGGGGGGGGGCCCACAGCTGTACAGATGCAGGCAAGGTCACGACCGCCTCAGAGAGCAGGGCCAGCGCGAGCAGCTGGCGCACCGCACACTCACGAGGGAAAATCACTCAGCCAAAACACAGTAGTGAGTGAGTCAGCGAGAAACGGGGGTCGTCCCGCGGGCTCAGTGAAAACCACAGGGCACACTGAGCTTTCTCTCGTTTGGCAAACATCACACATGCACAGTGCACAACGATGTCACACACCTCTGGATGCAGGAGGAGGGACTGCGTCGGTGATGCTGTGGTCACGCACGAGCCCGCAGCCGGGCTCTGCCGGGAGGGACATGCGTAATGTGTTGAGCCGCAATAGGATAACACCACTGTAGTTGTTGTAAGAAGCGTAATGTCTGTTTTGAGGGCTCATATGACACAGCCTGCCTGGTCAGACAGGCTGGACCCACAGAAGACTGTTGCTACCACCTTCCTCTGGCTGGTAGAGCGGGAGTGTCCCAGCGGCTCCCCGCTTCCCCCGTTCAAACATTGCTATGTTGCTGCTGCAAGGCAACATTGATCGTGGATCAATATATTTGACTGTCACAACCCGAGCGAAATGACTGGTTTCACTATCAGAATGAGGTGATCCATCTGGTCTACAACAGCCGTACAGCCGCACGTATACAATTTTACCCCCATTCGCGTTAGCGGAGAGCTGAACTGGAAGTTAGCCTGCTCAGCTGGCAAAAGTAAACACAGTGGACGCTGTAGCGCTACCGCCGACTAGTGTTTGGAGGTGTAATTGCAGAATGACGGAGACACCGACACAAGTACAAGTATGAATGCATGGCAAGTATAAATCAAGCTTCAGTCTCCACCCCTCCCCCCAAGTCATTACAACCAGTCAGGTGAGACGACAGCTCACCAGAACCCAGATCATCGAGGCCAGAGGACCCGACGACATCCACCCGAGGCTCCTCAAGAGCCCCTTTTTCCACCGCATGGTACCAGCTCGACTCTACTCTCCTTTTTTTGGTTTTCCATAGTGGAAAAGTTGTACCTGTACCTGCTTCCAGATACTTTCAATTTCCACCATACAACAAATAACAAACCATGACATGCATCCAACACAATACAATACATTTACACAGGTGGGTGAGGGGGTTGAGGGTGGGGGGCCCCTGGAGTCCCGGAGCATGCACTCTCACTAACAATAAAGGTGGTATGTCCTGAGTTGTTTAACACATCAAGATGTGAATACCAGAACTCTGTCTGAACTCTGTCTGAACTCTGTCTGAACCCTCCAATACTTTTGGAGGGGACTGTATAAACACCCACAGACCAACATGTACACCCACACACTTACAGATACACACAAACACACACACACAGACATATACACCCACAGACACACACAAAACACAAAGAAATTAGGTATCCTTGGTTGTCAACAGTTAGTTGCATTATTCTTTATGCATGTCAATAGGTTGTCCTGTCTGTTTGTGTGATGTTTGTGCCCCCCACCCCCATTTCTGCCCAATAGGCTAATTAAATAAATACAAAAAGACGATACCGGACTTAAATTTAAAACTTTCTTGTTAAAGCAAACATGGTACTTAGCAGTATACACGGTATACAGCTCCTCATACTGCATCCCAGGCTGCTGGGCGTGACAGGGTTAAAAAAAAACAATGCACGACTTGGTGTCCATGTCCTGTTTCAGGACACCTGAGGGCTCGTTCTGGTCTGATCTGAGGTCATTATCAGTGTTACAACATGGGCATTTTCCACAGACTAGCTAATAGACAGTCTGCTGAGCTTTACTGTTTTGCAGCTCTCCTGTCTGTGTCCTCTCAGTCAAAAACATACAAGTTTATTAGCAACTCTAACTTTCGAAAAATGTGTGATTTGTTTCTCTGTATGTGTCAGCCATGTAGCTCGGCACAACCTGCTCAGTTATTCACTTAGATGCTTGTTTTGACTAAACACAAACCTTATTTCCTGCTAACTGCTTTAGAGAAAACCACAACGGTATCAGTGATATAGAAAGAGGAAGGAGGTGGGATTTGCTTGGTGCGAGTGGTAAATGTTGATCTCAGATGACCAAGATCTAAAATGGAGGAATGGTCTTTACTGTGGCTGTTAGGTAAGTAAAAATCTACTTAATGTGTGAATGTTTGTCTCCATGTCGTCTCAAAAATTAGTTCTAAAACATGTCTGGTGTTTTTGAAAGCAGCAGCGAGTTACAGAGTGAATAATGTGAATACAAAGACAGAATTCAGCCAAATACCGTCAAATGATCAAATACAAATTAGCTACGACAAGAGAACAAGAATTTGAGTGATCATTCTTTGGTAATATATCAGCAAAGAAAAATAAAACATTACTAAAAAGTGTTTCAATTGTGTTTCTTTCAATGAAAATGAAAATTCTGATGCACAAAATTAATTCCCAATGATCACAAATCATAATATCTGACAAAATAATTGAAATATGATTTTTTTTTTACCTCAAGCAGTCCTAATATTTATTACACTGAATCTTAAACAAATATAATTTGTTGTTTCCACATCTAACATCAACATGTGGCTGTTTTTCTGTTCACTACAAGCAGGTTGTGTTGTAGAAAGTCCAGATGTCTTGTTTCATGTTAAAACCTCAAACCAACCTGAGTCTGTTTTCTCTTTAGTTCTGACCTCACTGCTGAGCTGCACAACAAACCAAGGTGAGAAAACTTCTTCTGTCACAGCTGAAAGGTTATTCACTCCCTGATAGAACAGTTAGTGTTTAGGACAGTGTTTGGGGAGGGAAACAGCCACTTTACAAATACAATAAAACACTGAATGCAGTTTTGATGCCACAGTGTTGCAGACTGGAGCCAAAGCTGAAACTGCTGCTGTAAAAATGTTATTCTGAAACTACACAGCATGATGCATTTTACAATTACATTTACTCATTTGGCAGACGCCTTTATCCAAAGCAACTTACATTTGAGGAACAACAAGCAACAACAGAGCATCAAATAGAGATTACAAATACAGATCTACATACTAGTAAGAGCAGCAATAAATACTAGTAGGAGCTCACAGCACATATCACATAAATGGGGTAAATACCAAGGGAAATAAGTATGAGCTAACTAAAAGTGCAAACTACACAAGATAATTGTAAGGGGATAGAAGAAGAAGAGCACAGGAAGTGCATGTAAGAGTTTAGAGGTGTTATTAGAGGAAGTGTACTCGGAAGAGATGAGTTTTCAAGAGCTTCTTGAAGCTTGAGAGGGACGCCCCTGCTCTGATGCCGTGTGGTAGGTCGTTCCACCGTCGTGGTGTCACAGATGAGACCAGCCGGGACTGGTTTGCTTTGTGTGAAGGGATGGCAGAGCCAGGCGGCGTTCGTTGGAGGAGCGTAGCGGCCGAGAAGGAACATAAGTTTGTATTATAGAGTTTAGGTAGATGGGTGCAGACCCATGATGCAGTAAGAATTACATAAGTAAGAAAGACAGATGTAGCCAGATCTTCTGCTGTGTGTTTGACACAAACTTTGAGAGTAAAATTGAAAAACATTTGAAAACATTAGTCTGTCAGCTCACATCTCAGTTTGATTCAGATTTCTTCTCTGAAACACAGAGATCAATTCAGCAGTGAAGAAGTGACAGTGAGAAAGCAGGAATATGAGGAATGCAGAGAAAAAAAAACGCAAATTATCTCTTAAACCACATCTTTCTGTCTCTTCCTCCAGCCTCTCTGACTGTGAGTCCCAGCAGCTCTCAGCTGTTTAGAGGACAGTTTTTCTCTCTGAGCTGTGAGGAGGACGACAGCTCTGCTGGATGGACGCCGAGGAGGAACACAACCAGAGAAAACAGGACTCAGTGTGGAGCTGGCTGGGGAAGATCAGCTGGTTCTTCTTGTAACATCAGTTACATTTTTGCATGGGACAGTGGAGTTTACTGGTGTGAGTCCAGCGAGGGAGGAACCAGGAACACCATCAACATCACTGTCACTGGTAAATTCAGACTACTGTAATCTGTGATTTAATGGGTCTAATGAGGTGTGACCGGATCAATAACAAACACAGGGACTCTGAACACTTTGTCAGTGTTATTCAGCATTTCTCTTTGTCTATTGACTAAAATCAAAGGCAAAACTTTAACCCAGAAATAAAAAGAAAGAAAAGAAGACACTGAGTGAAGAACCAAGAGTAGCCAAGAAATTAGCCTTAACCCACCATACGTAAATAATTATTTGTGTAATACTGTTGTAGTGTCTGTTCAGTGCACACACAGTGTGTGTTTGCAGGCTGGAAAACAGCAGGTGTCCATGTCATGTATTACTTTTGTTTTGATTTTTCATCCGTGTCATGCTGAGGCCTGCAGATTTGAACTAGAGGTGACTGTCTTCATATAACAAACTGCATGTTCTCACACTATCTTCACCAACTTGACAACACATGCGCAGTATTTGTAAAACACTTCAAAGTGAGAAAGCACCACGAATAGAAGCGATGCAACATGTGTTGTCAAATTTATCAACATGTTAATTTTGCTCCTGTTTTGTCTTTTTAAGTTAAGCTTGGTGTTGAGCTTTTGGGACAATCGTATTACGCACACCTTCTGCTGGATCTCGGCAAAACAATCCAACTTTACTGTAGCAGAGACAACACCACCAACATTACAAGCGAAAACCAGCTGAGTTTAGATATACACAGATCAGCCATAACATTATGATCACATGCCTAATATTGTATAGGACCTGTTTTTGAAGCCAAAACAGTCCAGATCCGTCGAGGCATGAACTCCAGTAGACCTCTGAAGGTGTACTGTGGTATCTGGCACCAAGACAATAACAGCAGATCCTTTAAGTCCTGTAAGTTGCGACGTAGAACCTTTGGAATTAGGAGGCCAAGCCAACACCTTGAACTCGTCGTTGTGTTCCCGAAACCATTCCTGAACCACTTTTGCTTTATGACAGGGCGCATTATCCTGTTGAAAGATGCCACTGTCATCAGGGAATAACGTTTCCGAGAAAAGGTGTACATCAGGGATTATAAATTCACATCCAGCACCGCAGCAACCTCCATGTGGCACATAATCTAATGACAACAAAGGTAAACTAAAAGTGTATGGAAGAAGCTAAAGAGTGAGCTGTATCGTTTCCTCTTTGTTGAGTTTCACATGCGCTGCACCGATCACCGCCAATCAAGGCTCAACTGTCCGACCTGCAGCCTCTCTGCTTCTCTGTGTCTCTGCAGGGCGCCTCTACTTCACACATACCACGGAGCAAAGTCGGCCAGCTGATCAGTGGACATTAGACATTGACAACAACTACACTCGTTAAGTACATGGTGCAATAAAAGTCCATACTTTACCAACGCACCAGTTTAATAAGCATAAACACGCAAAACCCGATGTTTTAATCTGCTGAGTCTCTCATCCACTGCAGCCCTGTTTAGGTTTTACACAAGCACAGCGCTAGTTCAGCTAATAGTGAAAGCTGTCTGTCTTTAGTGACTATTAAGCTTAGTTTGCCAGTAGCCTACCTTAAATATGGCACATTATAAACTCAGCTCAGTGGCAGAGACAGACGCTGCTCTCTTCCAGCAGCAGCAGAGGGAGGAGGACAGGAGGGACTGAATTGTTCATTCCTTCTAAACATCACTCAGTATGTTGTTGGTTAATATGGTTTATTTTACTGACATTTTAGATTTGTTTCCAGTGAGATATTAGTGACTTTGCTGTTGTAAATCCTGTTGCTGCTCTAGAAACAACATTTGGTTAACAAAAAATATCATATTATTGTTTCAAATAATATATGCAATTATGGCCCTGGTGTACATGGTCACTGGTTCACTTGCCCATTTTCCTGCTTCTAACAAATCAACTATGAGGACACAATGTTGACTTGCTGCCTAATATATAATATATATAGGTCACAAAAGCGTGTTAGTGTTGATGAAGCTGTGTGTAAATGATGAAATGCTGTAGTTTGTCTCTGTGTTGAGGTGGACCAGTGATCCTGCAGAGTCCTGTCCTCCCTGTGATGGAGGGACATGATGTCACTCTGCACTGTAAAACAAAGACCCCTCCCTCCAACCTCCCAGCTGGTTTCTATAAAGATGGCTCCCTCATCAGGACTGAGCCTACAGGTCACATGACCATCCACCATGTTAACAAGTCTGATGAAGGCCTCTACAAGTGTAACATCAGCGGTCGTGGAGAGTCTCCATCCAGCTGGATCTCTGTCACAGGTGAGGAGGTTACCTTTGATTTCAGGATTTATTTCATCCAGAGATTCACCTGACCAGGTGGATTCTCTCTACAGGTAAACCTAAAACCACAGCCCCGCCCACATACAGAGCTCTGCCCCCAACATCAACTACTGTATTTGACCTGACACCCTCTGCAAACCCGCCCCCAACATCAACTACTGTATTTGACCTGACACCATCTGCAGACCCGCCCACCTCTGCTCCTCTGCCCACTCCGACATCACCTGCCTCAGACCCGCTCCAGCTTGTGTTCAGACTGATCTTCCACCTGGTGGTGTTCTGTCCGTACTGCATCTCCACTGTCGTCATGGTGTCTTTATATCGACGCAGGGCCACAGGTGACACTCTTAATCACTAACCTTACAAACAATGATCCATCAATCAAGCAATCAGTCTCACACTGTCACTGGTGTTAATGATCGACAGTTTTCTATAACAGATAAATTCACTACATTTTTTTTATAACCTGCTCTGACTGCAGGAAATGGCCTACCTGTCTCAATGGTGATGACGCCACCCACCCAGGCTGAGGAGGGATTGGATGATGACTGTGATGATGTCATCCCTGCTGTCACCACAGAGCATCACTTCTGAGTTGATCCAGTGTGTTCAGTGTGTTCTGGCTCTTAATGAAGCTGAAATGTTTGAGTCATCAGCAAATAAACCTCAGATTTCCTTCATAGGTCACAAACAGCAGAGGACCCAGAACACTTCCCTGTGGAACTCCTCATGTTCTAGTTTGACTTAGATGATGTTGAACTCAGGATCTCAGACTTCCGCAGCAGCTACAGTCTCACTTTAAACTCTTCTAATCTTATTTACTGCTTTTAACCCCTTGACGCCAATTGTCGTGAATTCGCATCATACCTTTTCCTTGCAGACTGCAAGCCAAGATAGCGCATGGATTCCCCCGATGCCTGTTGGTGCATATTCGATACGAACCTAGGAACCTTTCGCAAGCCCTGGTTTCTCGTTTATGCCTGTTGTCGCTAATTTGCATCATACCTACACATACCTGAATTTATATCTTTTCCATGTTCTATAGACAAATTAACAATCTTCACTTAATTTATCATCATCTTGAAAGCGAATGAAAACACAAATAATTTTTTGATTCTAAAAATTCAGGCGTCAAGAGGTTAAAGTTTTTAATAAACCTCACGCAATCAACCAAATCTCAGTCTCTGTGTCATGCTAAGTTAAATAAAAGTTAAAGCTGAACATAAGACGTGTGTTGTCTGTTTGACAAAAAGTAAGGATGACCTTAACACAATAATTGTTGTTGGTAGATAGACGCCTATGTGTCATGGTGGAGCTCAACTTAATTGATTTCATGTGGGAGAAGGCAGATTCACGTAGGTTGATCCAAACAGAAAGTGCTCACAGACAAAAGGCTCGCTCCTCATGTTGGGAAACTTCTCCTGTGAAAGCAGCCCCAGAATTAAGTCTTCATGTCTCTGGTTGTCCTGGATCTCTTTTGATCCTACACATCAATATCTGTACTAAACACGACACTTTGTCTCTTAGAAATTGTATGGATTTCCATGAAATGTGGTTCAGACATTCAGGTTGAAATGCAATATCGTTGGTGATGCTCTAACATTTCATCTAGCGTCAACATCAGGTCAACATTTAAATAAATAAATACCTGCAGTACTAAGGACATTCCCGTCAGCCTCAGCTGGACTTTGTGTTTACTGCTAATTAGCTGATTTAAGCATGCTAACTAAGATGATAACTGTGATAACTGCTATTCATTAGCAAGTTAGCATTTTCCTTGTGAGCATTTTTGGTGGTGGCATGGTGATGTTGCACAGCTGCAAGAAGGCCTGTGGGCCTGTGTGAATACAAAGACACCATGAGATGTATACGGGGAGAATACCATGATGTGGCCGGTCATTCTCAACACAGATAGGATTGGATCTGCAGGGGATGGAGCTGTGACAGAAAATTATGATGAGTATTTCATCATAATCAATTCAGTTCAATTAAATCAACTTTATTAATCCCATAAGGGGCAATTAGTTAAGAGCAGCATGTTTGCAACAGTACATAACACAAATCACACACATTATTCACAACATACAAGCAGCCAGTATGTGCACATTTAAAAACCCCAAAGAACCTTACAGGGAGTTTAAAAGTTTGATCGACGAGGGGATAAAAGATTTGGAGTGGCGGTTCGCCTTACACTCAGCGTATAATGACGCCCAGAAGCCAACAGAGAGAATTCACCGGGCAGAGCAGAGAGGCTAGGATACTTGCTGCCTTCCAAACTATTTGTTAGATGCAGGAGACATTAAGGTCTCTCTGTTTCACACCAATGATTTTAGAACAGATCTTTACAGTGTTGTTCAGGCTGTTTCTGCCTTTAACTGTCAGATAGTGAAACCAACATAAAAATTTAAAAGACTCTCAATAAAAGACTGATAGAATCTAGACAGGATGACCGGCGTGACAGTGAAGCTTAGTTTGAGGAGAAGATGAATTCTCTGTTGCCCCTGCTTCACAATGGCGGCGCTGTTTATATAGAACTTAAAATGGTGTCCAAGTTTTAATACGATGAGAGAATTTCCACCTTTTCATTATGTATGATGCTCTCTGAAGCAGCATCTCTATTTTGCCCAAAGTCTATAATTAATTATGTGGTTTTAGATACATTTAAGTCAAGGAAATTGTTATCTCACCATGAGATAAAGTCAGTCAGAGCATTCCCATGGTCAGATACTGGACCTGGGAGAAGTGACAACAACGCAGTGTCATCGGAAAACTTCACCAAATAGCTGCTCTCCTGGGCGCTTCTGCAGCCATTTGTGTACACGACAAAAAGAAGCGGTGAAAGGAGGCACCCTTGAGGTGATCCTGTAGAAAGCAATAAGGAGTCTGAGAAATTACCATTTACAAAGACCCTCTGCTCTCTAACAGTTAAAAATCTAAAATCCATAAAACAAGTTGGTGAGGCAAGCTAAAATCACACCGCAGCTTGTCTATTAAAATATGTGTTTGCATTGTATTAAAAGCTGAAGAAAAGTCTGCAAACAGAAGCCCGGCATGGGATTTTGGTTTGTCTAAATGCTTATATAAGCTATTCATGATAAAAAGCTTTGCATCCTCTACTCCCCTCCCCGCTCGATAGGCAAATTGCAGGGGATAGGACCAGGTTTTTAATGATTTCCTCTAATACCTCGAATACTCATAATTAGTGATGTTAAAGCAACAGACCTGAAATCGTTTAGTTACCCTGGTTTGCTGATCTTAGGAACCGGGATCACTTTGGATGATTTCCAGGGAATTACACTACTATCCAGTGACACCTGGAAGATGTGCTGGCCACAGCCTACAGATGTATGTCTGTCTCTGCAATAATAAACTAACATTGCAAGTAAGTCTCTGAGTGCTCACTCCAGTTAGTCTTTACCCCAAGAGAGGGAGTTCAAGTACCTGGGGGTCTTATTTGCGAGTGAGGGGACAATGGAGTCCTTTGCATCAAAAGGAGCCAGTTAAGAAAGTTCAGACATGGTAAGGACGCCCCCTGGGGGCCTCGGGGAAGACCCAGGACTAGGTGGAGATATATGTCTGGGAACGCCTCGGTGTAATCCCTCTCAAAGCTGGTTTATGTGGCTCAGGAAAAGGAGGTTTGTGGTCCCCTTGCTGGAGCTGCTGCCCCAGTGACCCAACCAGACATACGTGGTTGAAGATGGTTGAATGATGGATGGAAGATGGATTGATTGCAAGTAAGTTTTCCTGTGTGCATCTCACATTGTTTTTTTTGCACAAGTTTCAAGTTGAATTGAGAGCTTTAAGCGTCCAAAGGTTGATACACACACACTGAAAGAATTGGAAAGTTATAGCCACCAAAAAGATTTTCCTGATGTAAACTGCCAACATCAGGTAAGATCACTAACACACGGCTCATGTGCATGTGTCAGTAATAATAATCATATATGAAACATGATCTTGAACATGACCGCTTTTATGATCACTCTGTCATCATGTATGGACAGAGACTTCTCTCCGGACATCGTGGATTTATCCTCAGCACAGAATAAAATCTATAGACAGCACTGTTCTTTAAAGCTCTGTGGACACAAGGCAGCTGGAAACAGGTGCACTGAAACATTCCTGTCCTAGTTATCATGTTGAAGATGATGTGAAAATTTCTGAGTGAGGATGACTGCAGTGCAGCTGAAACAAATTAATGGAGTTTAAAAGTGAGTTTTTTTAATTATTAGCTGAAGTCCAAATGTGTCTTTCATCAAATTAGGAAATGAGCAATTTTATTAATGTAAAATAGTCTAAAACTTTTTTAGACACATTTACACTGCAAAAAAAAAAAAATTAACAGGCTAACCTACTGGGTCAGACTGACTTTACAATCACAAGTGACCTTATTTGATCCTCCATCTGAATCTCTCTGTCGCTCCTTTCTCTTCACTGCAGTCATGAGAGGGAAACTACCTGATAAATGAGGAACAACACACCTGATCAAAGAACTAAACGTGTCCTGGATACAGCATGGACCAAAACAATAAAGAACACAACTCAAGTTTCTAAATGTAACATGAAAATATTTATTGTCCCAAAATATAGTTAAAAGAATCACTTTAAGGACATTTGTGCAGATTGCAAGTTATTGCTTTTTGTTTAATTCATATTATTACATAACCACGTTCTTTCTGTACATATCATGTAATTCTGCTTTGTAGATAATAATTATACTCAGGTTTATTTCTTACTCTGTGAACTCCGTGGGACAGATTGAGGTATATCAGATGCTTTGGTCCAGTCTTTTTGGTTTGTTTATACAATTCAAAAGTAGTAGTAGAGTTTTAAATCACATAAGGCCACATACCAGCTAATATCATTAGCTTATAACATATAAATATATACAGAAACCACAGGTTTTATATAAAAACATCATCATATTACAACAGAAGACATTACAATACAGTATTCACAATATAGATAAAATATGTTGTTAGCTGTGATCTGAGACACTCACACCTCTCTCCACCTGGTTTCAGCAGGCTTGGTTTGCGCTCTGTCTGCTGACATTTCAGACATCAGAGGCTGTTTTTCTGTTTAAAGCTGGTTAATCTGTTCATGAAGCTCCCTGTGATACATGAGTGCTGAGGCTGCAAGCAACCAGCTACATTTACTCTCCTTACTGTAACATGTTAACGCACTTTATTTTGTAAAGCCGTCAGGTAACTTCCTCCTCTTTTTACATTTAAAAGACGCTTTTATCCAAAGCAACTTACAATCGCTATACATGTCAGAGGTCGCACTCCTCTGAAGCAACTAGGGTTAACTAGTCCTAGTCCTTCCCAGGAAACTCAACAAACGTAACCTATTGGCCTCAGGTGAAGATACCAACGATGGTCGTTCAATCTTGGCCACAGGTAGTCTTAACGACTGTAACGACTGTCGTCACAGCAACTAGAAACCTAGGGAACTTTGAACATTAACGGTATCGATGGCCCGGGCTGAGGTTAAATAGCTGAGTTTCCCTGCCAGTCAGTCAGAACTGAAGAACGAGCCCTTGATTTTAACCTTCGTTGGATAACTAGGGGTTAAGTGTCTTGCTCAGGGACACAATGGAGGATGGTCGGATCTCACAGTGGGAATCGAACCCAGGTCTCCCACACCACAGGCAAGCATCTTATCTATTGTTAAACATATGAATTCCTGCTTTG